ACTATTAACTTATGGATGCACTTGGAAGGTTTGCTAAGCACTCAGGAAGCTAGAGTCGCTCTCGGCTATCGCCTCGACCCACTATTACGCTTCTTTCGAGCTGAGCAACTTCCCGCGCACATCTATAACTCAATAGTTTACGCTGTGCTGTTTGCCGTTTCTTAAACAGTGCTCTTAAAACTACAATAATCGTATTTTAGTAAATACATCTTACAAGTAGCAAGCAGGCTGTCAATGGCACTGCAACACGGGCAAAGAGGCACTCGCGTCGAGCCAGAGAGCCACTGGAATGTGAGAGAGATATGGGTCTGAGTATGCTCTCCTTACAATATCGGCCCTAAAAAGATGTCACCATTTTGATGACTAGATAGTTAGACGCTCCAAATTATTAACCCATATAATTTAATGGAAGCATAAACAAGCATGAAAGGGAATCGCACGGGGAGACCTCTCGCTCAAAGAAAGCGTTACGGGTCGTGCGTATATGCCAAATAAGTTGCGAGCAAAGCTAGCAAATGTTCACGATGGGTTTGATACTCTACATGAGAAATTTAAGCCCGTCTGTATGGCTGAAAACGGGTGCATTTTTATGTCAAATTGGTCTGTTTTAACCTTCTGGGGTGCTTTTTAAGGTAAATTAGTAATGGCTTAAATAAGCACTTAATTTTTTCAAAGAGTGCAAACTGCTCTCGCTGCACAGGATCGTGGAATTTGTTGTCTTTGAAAAAATTATTAGAGCCTATTAACACCACATTGTACCCAGAATCAAGTTATTATCCATGTCAATAATATACATTAAAAAATTATTCGCTTCTGATTGGCTTAAAACGAGTGTATTTTTTTCGTAGCGCGACTACAAAGTTGTAAAACGAGTGCAAATTACAAATACCGCGCGCGCTATCAAAACATCGTCTGTCTTGACTTTCTGTGATGCTTTTTTCCGTGGGAATTTTCACTAACATGATTTTGAGTGCAATTTGGTGCTTATTTAGACCAAATTGCACTTGAAATCATGTTCTTCCTTGTTAAATGATAAAAACATCCAGTCAAGACAGAAAAAAATTTTGACAGTCAGCGCGTTGTTGGTAATTTGCAGTCGTGTTACATGATAAACGCACTCGTTTTCAGCCAATCAGAAGTCCGTATTTTTCTCATGTATGTTATTACATTTGTTAAACCACTAAGTCTTTGGCTAAATGGAAAAATTTTAAAAATTTTAAAACCTGTGGAGAGTTGCGGTATTTTGCATATTTTTAAAACT